ATTTTCTGTACCTCTGGTTTTTAGTTAAATAAAAGTTTCTTTGCTTCATACTCATCTTGATTCAACAATTGGTATCAGAGCAGGCTCTTTGAAGGACTAACTGTCGCCAAAGAGAGGATCACAAGATTTCTGGAGCTTCCTCAAGTGCTGTAGCCTACTCGGCAAATACAAACCCCCCCGTGGTTTGATGGAACAGACTACACAGTCTGGAAAAAGAGGATGCGAATCTACTTACGAGGAGTTGATGGAGAACTATGGGCTGTTGTCAGAAAGGGACCAGTTCCGATGGAAGATGAAGATGAAGAAGACTGGAAGGAAGAGCAGAAAATCTCTTCTCAACTGGACTCTCGGGCAATGCACATCCTGTTCTCTGCCCTTTGCACCGAGGAAAGAAGCCAAGTGGCTCAATGTGAATTTGCAAAGAAAATTTGGGAGTCTCTTCAAACTACTCATGAAGGTACGTCTGAGGTTAAAGAAAGTAGGATAGATGTGCTATTAAATGAATATGAATCATTCGAAATGAGTTCAGGTGAATCTATATCAAGCTTTTATAAACGGTTTAATGATCTGATAAACAGGCTGAAAGGTTTAGGCAAAACATTTGAAACCAAAGATCTGGTTAGGAAAATTCTAAGATGTTTACCTAGAGAATGGTTACCCAAACGTACTGCCATTGAAGAAGCCAAAGATTTAAATGTACTATCTATTGAAAGATTAGTAGGATCTCTGCTTAGCCATGAGGAAGTAATTATTCAGATGAATAAAGATGATCATAGAAGAAGAAAAGTAATTGCTTTCAAAGCAAGGGAGTATGATAGTGATTCTGATATGGATATGGGAGAAGATTTTGAAAAAGAATTTGCCTTAATTAGTAGAAAGTTTCACCGGATGTTAAAAATGAAGAGGGAGTTTCAGGCTAAAAGAGGATATCAAAACTCTAGAAACTCAAACAATAACTTGTATTCTGAGTATAGAGGAGAAAGAGAAGGAACTGATAAACTACCTCCCAGAACACATGAAAGACACAACTCAAATCGATCATATTTAGAGAAAAATCCATCAAAAGTGCATGACAAAATATTTGAAGGTCGTGAAAGGTATAAAATCGATAAGGAAGACACCAAGTCTTCCATTGAGAAAGATCTAACGATTTGCTTTAAGTGTGGAAAGCCAGGCCATGTGAGGTCAAGATGCCCTCTAAGCTCAAAAGCCAGAGAAAAGGCTCTTGCTGCTTCTTGGAGTGACTTCAGCACTGATGAGGAAACATAAGAGAAGAATCTGGCATATATGGCTTTTGCAACAAGAAATGAAGGTGAGGAACAGTCTACTACCAGCATTGATCACCAATCTCCTTCATGTTATCAGGTAATTACTGATTCTGATTCAGAACAGGATAGTGAACAAGATACAAAAACTAATTTCCTGCATGCTCTAGAAAATCTCCAGAAAGAATGTAATAGACTTAGAAGCAAATACTGTTTACTTATGACTGACAACCAGTCACTAAAAATCGAAGTTGAGTCACTAAACAAATCATTAACCACTCAAAACGAGTGGAACAGAAAAGGGCATTTGGCACGTTTCTGTTATGATTTAGACAAACTAAAAAGGCCTACTACTATCAAAACATTTTGGGTTCCAAAATGTGCTAATCTCTAATTGACTGCAGAATTTGGGAGAAAATGGGAATATCTGGTTTCTGGACAGTGGTTGCTCCCACCACATGACAGGTAATAAGGAATTATTTTCTTCGTTGAGTTATAAAAAAGGTGGAAAGGTAGTCTTTGGAGATGATCGTGTAGGGATTATAATAGGAAATGGAACAATTGGCAAAAGCCCTCTTCCTACTATAAAAAATGTGTTGTTTGTAAAGGGACTAAAACACAACCTTCTTTCAATAAGTCAACTCTGCAACTCAGAAAATAGAGTAGTCTTTGAATCATCATCGCGTGAAATTATCAGGATAAAAGACAATAAGATACTATTCTGTGGAACTGAAAAGGACAACATGTACATGGTTGATTTAAATTGCCTGAATACCTTTAGTGAGACATGTTTCCAAGCCAAAACTTTTGACTTAGAAATGTTATGGCACAGAAAACTTGGTCATATAAGCCTATCTAAGCTATCAACCCTTTCAAAAATGAAGTCAGCTCGAGGAATACCTCAGCTAAGAGAAATACCTAAGTTTTGTTGTGATGCTTGTGTTGGTGGAAAAATGGTAAAGAAAAGTTTTAAATAAAAAAGGGACATAACCACTACTGAACCTTATGAACTCATTCACATGGATTTATTTGGACCAACAAATGTAATGAGTCTAGGGGGAAAATCATATGCTTTTGTACTTGTTGATGACTTCTCTAGATATACCTGGGTATTTCTTTTGGCTTCCAAAGATGAAGCTTTCATGAACTTTAAAAACTTTGTGCATCATATTCTTACTGAATCAAAATCTGGTATAAAAACTATTCGGAGTGATAATGGGGGTGAGTTTATTTCTGATCGGTTTAGTGACCTATGAAATGATAAGGGAATTACTCACACCTTCTCTGCTCCAAGAACACCACAGCAAAATGGTGTGGTGGAAAGAAAAAACAGAACTATAATAGAAACTGCCAGAACCATGTTGTTGGAATATGGATCTCCTAAATTTCTGTGGGGAGAAGCGGTAATGACTGCTGTTTACATTATAAATAGAGTTCTAATCAGAAAAGTTATAAACAAAACTCCCTATGAAATTATTAAACAAAAACCACCCAATCTAGGATACTTTCACCCCTTTGGGTGTAAGTGCTTCATTCTAAACACAAAAGATCATGTGTACAAGTTTGATTCCAAAACTGACCAGGGTATATTCTTGGGTTACTCTATCAAAGGTCAAGCATATCAAATATATAATCTAAGAACTATAAGGGTGGAAGAATCTGTGTTCGTAAAATTTGATGAATCAGAAAATACTAACAAAGTTTGTTCAGAAAGTATAGAACTTCTATTTCCTATGCTAAATGAAGTAGGGAATTCTGAGGAAAAGCAAGGAGAATTGTTACAAAGTCAGGAGGACAATACCAAACCGAGTAAAGAACCAAGCACAGAAGAAGAAAGGAAGGAGGCACCACCTCACATTCAAAAGAGGCATCCACCCTCACAAATCATCGGTAAGCTGAATGAAGGTATACATACCAGAGGAAATTATCAACCAGGTCAGTACGCTCTTATTTCGTTATTAGAACCTAAAAATTTCAAAGAAGCCTTGCTTGATGATGAATGGTTGAATGCTATGCAAGAAGAATTGCTACAGTTTGCTAGGTTACATGTTTGGGAACTTGTTCCTCGCCCTTTAGACTGTCTAATTATTGGAACAAAATGGGTTTTTAGAAACAAAACGGATGAAGAAGGGCAGGTAATTAAAAACAAAGCAAGATTAGTTGCCCAAGGGTACTTACAGGAAGAAGGAATTGATTTTGAAGAGTCATTTGCTCCTGTTGCCCGTATTGAATCAATAAGAATGTTATGTGCATATGCATGTTACATGAAAATCCCTTTGTATCAAATGGACGTAAAAAGTGCATTTTTGAACGGTGATATAAAAGAGGAAGTATATGTAAGTCAACCACCAGGTTTTATTGATCCAAATCATCCTAATCATGTCTACAAGCTGTCTAAAGCATTATATGGTTTAAAACAAGCGCCTAGAGCTTGGTATGAAAAATTATCAACTTTCTTAAAAAATGAAGGTTTCTTACAAGGAAATGTTGATAAAACATTATTCATCAAAAGGGAAAACTTAGAAACTCTAATTGTTCAAATTTACGTTGATGATATAGTTTTTGGATCAACAAATCCAGACATGTGTACTAAGTTTTGCGAAATTATGAAGTCAGAATTCGAAATGAGCATGATGGGAGAGTTATCACACTTTCTTGGATTGCAAATTAAACAAACCAAATCTGGGATCTTCATAAATCAATCTACTTATACTGAAACAATGCTTAAAAAATTCGATATGAACTTCATAAACCCAAGTCCAACTCCTATGGCTACAAATCTGAAACTTGATAAGGATGAAGAGGGAAAACCATTTTGTGAGAAAAAATACAGAGGAATGATTGGATCACTTCTCTATCTCACAGCCAGCAGACCTGATATTCAATTCAGTGTCGGTTTATGTGCAAGATTTCAATCAAATCCTAAAGAAAGTCAATTTAAGGCTGTTAAACGAATTTTTAGATACTTGAAAGGAACTGTTCATGTAGGGCTTTGGTATCCAACTTCTGATTCATTCGAGCTGGTTGGCTATAGTGATTCAGATTTTGGTGGAAGTCTAGTGGACAGAAAGAGCACCTCAGGAACTATCCAGTTCCTTGGACCTGCTCTGGTTTCGTGGTTTAGTAAAAAACAAGGTGCAGTAGCTCTATCAACTGCCGAGGCTGAATATATGGCAGCTGGTAGCTGCTGTACCCAAATAATGTGGATGAAAGCTCAGCTAGCTGATTATGGATTTAACTTCAAAAATATTCAAATATGTTGTGATAACACAAGTACAATAAGCATGACAAAAAATCCTGTTCAACACTCTAGAACTAATCACATTGAAATAAAATACCACTTTATTAGAGACCTGATTCAAGAAGGACATATTTGTTTGCATTTTGTGTCAACCGAGTCTCAACTAGCCGACCTATTTACAAAACCCCTTCCCAGCGAACGTTTCGTGCAATATGTACAGAACTAGGATTGAAATCTGCATGTCAGATTAAAAATCTCTCTCTCTAATCCCTGATAGGTCCTTTTTCTACTCTAGGCTCTCTGCGTATCTTGGTTTGATAACCATGAGCCTTTTCTGCTCATGCTTGCTTCGTCCCAAGGATTATCCATGGAAGCCCGCAACTAATCATTACAACTTTCCTCTGCCCGCTCCACTTGAAAACTCTTCAGCTTCCCATCCGCTCCTCATCTCCTCTGCCTATAAAACCCCCTTCACTCGTGTTTTGCTATTCACGTTTCCTTTCAGCAACACAAAACCCTCCAAAGATTCAGAGAGAACTTCATTATCTTCAAACATGAGTGATTACATGCCTCGCCCGTTCCGTTTCGATGGTTTGGTTCGTACTTTTTCTGGTTACATGTTCCATGAACCAAGAGTGCTCAATCACCATCGTTATCTCCAACATTTCGATAAGATAAGGCTCCATCACATCACTCAACTTGATCCCTATGAATTCAATGTCTACAAGTATGACATTATTTCTCTTATCGAAGGGCTTGGGTGGGATTTTCTCCTTCGTCAACCTATTCATCCTGCATGCCCAGGAGCTGTCAAGTACTTCTTCTCCAATCTTCAGAGTCTCGGCATTAGCTCAAGAAGGTTTACCACTCTGATCTATGGGCATCTGCTGACTGTTCCAGTTAATGCTCTAAATGGTATTCTCGGGTTTCCCTCTCAGGGACTCGGTCTTGCTCATCCTTCTGAATTTTTGAAGCATGAGTTCAAGATAGAAATCGAGTATAGCAACTTCTCCACTGAGCCAACTGGTGGCTCTGATGTCCCAATACCTGTTGCTTGGCTGTCCCCAAGACTGAGGATCTTCCATTACATCCTCACTCACGTCTTCTTTCCTCGGTCCTACAATCAGGACTGTGTTCTTCCCATGGATCTCTGGATCATTGCCAATGCAACTGCAAGACGAAAGCTCGACTTTGCAAGCATCATGTTTGGTCAGCTTCTTCCTGTAGGAGACGAAAACTACAAAAGTCTCCTACCTTTTGGCTCTATTATCACCCGATTACTGATCAATCTAGGTGTTGACCTATCCGAGTTTCGAAGTATCTCCTCCACTATGTATGTCAGTGCACTTAATGTGCTGATGATACTTGACCTGCCAACTGATATTCCTCCACCTCCTCCTCCCTCTGCATCCCTTCTGGGTGCTCCTCCAAAGTCTCGCTCTGTTAAGAAAGGCGCCTCTGGGAAGAAGTCAAAATCTGCTGGTGAATCCAGCAAGTCTGGGAACCTTGTGTTCTCTATCTCTGAAGGTAGTGGCTCCTCTGATGATTCTGCTGCCTCTGCTCCTCCTGCCTAATCTCTTTAGTTCTTCTCTAGCTGTGTTTTTATGTTTTCTCGTTTAGTATCTTTTGTTTAGGGGGAACAAGTCCTTTTGTGTTCAGGGGGAACTGGTATCCAGTTCCAAGTAGTTAGGGGGAATATCTTCGATATCCTCATATTTTGCTTTCTCAATCCCCCCTGTATTGCTGCTCTCCTTGTAACTGCCGTTAATGAATGCACTTCTGTTTTCGGTTAGGATTCTTGGTCTGCTGGTGTGTTTGTTATTCTTGCTTTGCAGGTTCCTCAACTACTTGGACGAAGGGGGAAATTGTTGACTGAAACGACGCTGCTTTACTCAGCCTAAAACGATGTCGTAGGCATACCAAGGAAACGGTCACAAATCGGGTTTCGTCCTTCGCAGTTGGTCTCTTCCTTCTCGAGTCAAACATTCCCTACTCTTCTCAAGAGATCGATGAACCGACTTCTCAGCTCTCTTCTCCACCGCCTCTACTCAGCTAGTAATCCGAGGATCTATCAGGAGCGCCATGCGTAGGGAACGGTTATCTCTCAGTACGGTATAAATAGTGAGTAGGTCTTTGATTTCAAGTTGGTAGTAGTTGGTATTAAGAGAGATCGAGATATACTCTTGTATCATGGGCTAAGTTCATTTCTTTCTTCAGTAGATAGATCACAGGAGTTGTAAACTGGGTGATCTAGTCTTGGGAAGTTGGGATTGAGTGTTTCCTTTTGTTGTTGAAAGTGCCAAGTTTCTTGGCGTGGCTAGGGATTGTGAAGATTTTCTGTACCTCTGGTTTTTAGTTAAATAAAAGTTTATTTGCTTCATACTCATCTTGATTCAACAAAAAGCAACAATCCACAAAAAAAAAAAGAAACAAAACACACGGCAAACTCAGTTCAAGCTCCTCAAACACATGGAGCAAACAGAAAAAGTCTAAAACAAAAACACACACTGAGGGGCGACAAGTACAGCGTACTCGTCGCCAAGGTTGTCCAGATCAATGTCATTCATGAATGCATCATCGTCATCAGCTGGTGGAGGTGGAAGTGGAGAGTCCTCCCAGGGAGTCCTCCAGACTGGCTGCTCGGCCGGTAGCAGCTGGAGCAGATACCCCTGGACCTCCTGCATGCGCCTAGCTCGGGCCTGCTCCCTCTCGATGCGCGCCAGGGTCACCCCCTGCTGGGTCTCCATCCTGTCTAGGCGCTCATCATACGCAGCCATCCGGGACTGGTACTCGGCATGGTGTGCCGAATACTGCTGCTGAAATTGCATCTGATAGTCGTAGAGCTGCTGATTCTGGAGACGCAACTGCTCGAACTGCTGAGTGAAATAGTCCTGGCCGGGGAAGCTGGAACTGCCACCCCCGTACTCGAAGGTGGTGGGGCGGACGGCATCAGTATCATCCACATCCTCCGGCTGGACCTCCTCATCAGCCGCACCCTCGGGAGCCTCCGGCTGGACCGCCTCTGGGATCTGAGGTTGAGGAAACCCCTCGATCCACATAACACCACGCTGTTCTCGAAGCAGGTGCATTTTTTTGATCGTAAACCGGCCAAAGACACTGGTGTCTTCCTGCTCTGTGCACCCCTGCAGGGGTATCTGGAAGTAGTCTGCCAGGCGGGTGATGAGGGGAGTGCAGTGAAGTTTCTTCAGCTCAGAAGCACTCTTGTCGAAGGTCCTCGCCACCACCGAACCCAAGTGGAGGGGATGATCCCTCCGGCGCATCGACTGGATAAGGTACATGGCTCTCTTGGTGATGGCGCTGGCACTGTCCGAGGCTGGAGTGTAAGACTTGGCCAGCATGTGATGGAGGATGCGGTTTTCGAGCTGCAATGTGTTGGCCTTCGTCTTCCTCGCCTTGAAGGGGAGCTGACCGGGCCGAGCGAGGCTAGTGTACAGTGTCCCGAAGTCCACCCCCGCTGGTTCGGTGCTCTCGGTGATGTAGTCTCTGTCATCGACCAGGTTGAGGCCGAGAGCGTTCGCCATCTCGTTGTAGCTCATGGATCGTGGTTCACCGCCGAGCCGGAACTTGACGGCTTCACCGTCCTTCCAATCCTCCGTGTCTGCGTGCTCGAAGGTGGCGTAGAACTCGAGCACGAGCTCGTGGTACACGTTCTCGCGAATGCTGAGTAGGCGCCGCCAGTAGCGGTTGGTGACAACGGGGGAGAGGTGCTCGTAGCAGTTCAGCTTCTCCAACTCTCGCTTGGACCAGCAATGATGCTGCCCAAACTTGCAGGCCAGGACATTCTTAAACCGCTCCTGGTGGGGCCCCCTTCTCAAATCTTGAACAAACTGGTGCCGGAGGTTGGGCTTCGTCATGGTCCTGCAAAAGAACAACCCAAAGTGGAACCGAAAGAGCCAAGGAAAATGTTAACCACACCCCCACACTTAAGAACAGAAAACAACCGAACCATGTTTTCATCCATAGTTCGGGGGTCAAAAACTCGATCAAGCAAGCATAATCGGGATGGGGATGCACATCCATGGGAAAGTAGGCAACTCAAGGTTCACATCCATACCAAACGTACCCTCAAAGCACATCATTAAGGGTCCCAACCGACTCCCACAAAATGGTACGAAAACAGGCATTTCATCGAACACCTTGTGTGCACTATTAAGGTAAACAGGGAATTGACAAAATTCTTGCACACAAGGGCTCAAACAAGCAAGGGGGACAATGCCCAACACAATGCATACATAATCCAAGCATTCCCCTCAATCAATTGCACAAAATTCTCACGATTCAAAGAGGTTCTCTAAACATGCACCCTAACACCCAATTCTCCATAAAAAACATAGTTAAGGTCAAAATCAAACCTGGAGACTCAAGTAGAGGTGTAGGGGATGATGAGGGGAATGCAATGAAAGCGACGAAAGGGCGAAAAACTGCCTGGAAGTGCTCGTCGGAGGCTCACCGGAGTCTCGCCGGAAATCGCCTCCGGTGACTCAATATCAAGCCAAATCGCCTCAAAATCAAGGGATAGGCCGATAATGGGGAGGAAAGGATGGGTGTGGTGTTGGATTTGTGAAAAACCGACCAAATATGGCCGAAATCGACAAGGAGGGTGAAAAGTCGCGGTTTTCCGGCGAGGGAGAGGATTCCGGCGAGAGTTTGGGTTTTCTGACCACTCGGCCGTGTCGGCCGAATTGATAGGCCATGGCTCGGCCACACGGCCTGGCTCACACGGCCGTGTGAGCTGCACCTTTGCCCGTGTCGGCCGACACAGGCTGGCCGAGGAATTTTCACTCAGCCGTGCCGAGTGCACATTTGACCGTGTCAAATTTTGCGCAAGCTCACACAGCCTGGGGGAATTTCCACACGGCCGTGTCACTATCACAGCTGGCCGTGTGGAATTCTGCGAGAGCTCACACGGCCAAACCCATTTTCCACACGGCCGTGTGACATTCAGGGCTGGCCGTGTGAGCTGCCAAAACTCCGAAATTGACATGTTTTCACTCCGGAACGACATACAACTCATGAACAACCCCTCAAGACTCAAAAAACACAAAAAATCAAAAGGAAAAAGGTAAGAAAATGAAATCCTAGGTGGGGTTGCCTCCCCACAAGCGCTTCTTTACCGTCTTTTAGCTGGATGACAGTCGGTGGATGCTCAATGAGGTGAAGGAGCAGGTGCCTTCAAGAGCGGATCCACCTCGCTCTTGAGGTACAGCTTCAAATGGTGGCCATGCACACGACGAATGTGGCCACCAGCATTTGCCAACTCGACTTGGCCATCCGGCATGATGCAAGCGAGTGAATACTCAGATGGCCAAGGTGGGGGTGGGACCAGCTCGTAGTGGTCTCCGGCTTTCTTTCGAGCAGGCTTAGCTGCCTGCAATTTCGGCCACCACTCCTCCTTTATCTGTTCTTTCGGTGACGGAGTGGACGGGAGTGGCGGCGAAGGTATGGGAGGCGGATCCTGCACAATAGGAAACATAGAAGGATACACGACAGACTCGTGCTCCTGGTGAGATACAGCATGCAGAGGTGACGCAGAAGGAAGAGTATTGGCAATTGAAAACGTTATTCTCTCCTCGCCATCCCTCAGAACTAAGGTCCCATCATGCACATCTATGAGAGCCTTGGCGGTGGCCAGGAAAGGCCTTCCCAGTATAAGGGGCACTTCTGTGTCCTCATTGATGTCCAAGACAACAAAATCCACAGGATAATTGAATTTGCCAACCTTAACCAGAAGGTCTTCCACTATGCCCCTAGGATGCACTACAGATCGGTCAGCTAATTGAAGGGTCATCCTAGTAGCAAGGGGTTCATCTAGGCCTAATTTCTTGAACAGTTTATACGGCATAACATTGATACTAGCACCTAAATCCGCCAAGGACCTCTCTACATGCAAATTATCTATAGAGCACGGGATAGTAAAACTACCTGGGTCCTTCTGCTTCTGCGGAAGCTTGTTCTGCAGAATGGCCGAGCACTCCTCGCTGAGCTCCACAGTGTCCAGCTCGCTCAGCTTCTGCTTCTTTGAGAGAAGATCCTTCAGGAACTTCGCATACTTAGGCATTTGAGATAGTGCCTCCAAGAAAGGTACTTGGACATTCAGCTTCCTAAGCATGGCCATGAAGTTCCCGAACTCTGCATCTAGCCTGTCTTTGTGAACCGAGTAGGGAAGGGGAGTTGAGGGATATACTCCTTCACTACTGGTTGCGGTTTAGGTGCAGGCACCTCAACCTCCTTCTCTGCTTCATCTTCAGCCGCTGGAGATGCCGAGACAGGGGCCTCTCTCTCTTGTGCCCGAACAGGTGGATCAACAGTCATCTTGCCACTCCTGGTTATGATGGCATTGCAGTGCTCATTCGGGGTCTGAGGATGAGGGATGGTCTGACCGGGTAGAGTACCAGGAGCCCTTTGTGCCACTGCTTGAGCCACACTCCCCAGCTGGGTTTGGATATCCTGCAAGACAGCCTGTGTGTTCCTCTGGCCAGCTTCAAGAGCTAGGAATTTACCCGAGGCCTTTTCCATGAAGTGATCGATAGTGTTGAATTTCTGAGCACTAGAACTGGCGAGAGAACCCACCAAGTCCCGCAATTCAGCCATCAGATCATTCTGCACTGGGGTGGCAGGGGCTGCACCTAGCTGCTGGAAAGTTCGCGACTGTGATGGAGCAGCATGCCCCTGTATGGGCTGGTAGAGAGACTGCTGCTGCTGGAATTGCTCCTGTGTAGGCTGATATGGTGGCCTCTGGAAGCCCGGTGGTCCCTGGGTGACTGGTGGTTTGGAATTTGCCCCACCCCAGGAGAAGTTGGGATGCTGGCGCCACCCCTCATTGTAGGTGTTACTGTAGGGGTCATTGCGCCTGACATTATTGATGAAGTTCACCTGCTCCTGGGGTGTGGTCGATTCCTTCATCGCCTGGCAGTCTTCCACTGTATGATGGGTGCTCTCGCACCACTGGCAGAGCATCACCTGCTGCTGTCCGGTCCCTGGAATCATCTTGGAACGATCGATAGCTGAAACCAGCTTCGACATCACCTGCACCAAATCAGAGGAATGGTTTCCCACAGAATGTACACCTCGGCTTAGTGCTCTCCTCGACCTCCTAGCAGTGCCCCAATCATACCCGTTCTCTGCCATCTCATGAAAGAGTTGATTCAGCTGTGGCGGTGTTTTGGTCAGCATGTTCCCGCCACAAACTGAGTCAATCAGCTGCTTGTCTTCTGGGAAAAGGGCATGATAGAAGGTTCCCACCTTGAAAGCATCGTTGAAACCATGATTGGGACACCTCAGGAAGAGACTGTTGTATCTCTCCCAAGCATCCCGGATGGTCTCATCTTCATCCTGGGTGAAGTGGGTGATCTGCTTCTGCAAGTCCGCCGGCTTCGACGGAGGATGGTAGCGGGTAAGGAACTTGTCCGCCAGGTTGGCGAACATGGTGATGGAGCCCGGAGGTCGAGTGTCTAGCCACTCCTTGGCCTGCCCCTCCAGGGTAAATGGGAAGTACCTCAGGTGGATGGCATCTGCTGGGACCCCATTGATCTTGATTCCATCGATGGGCTCGTGGAATCGCCTGAGATGTGAACGAGGGCACTCCGCCTCTTTGCCTCGGAACATCACTAAACCGCGCAGCATGGTGATTACTGAGGTGCTCACCTCAAAATTATTGGCTGGGACATGAGGGTGTTGAATGGGTGACCTCATGTCTGCAGCCCTGCGGTCCAGTAATGTCCCATGGTCTGCTCCTCGGGATTGACCACATCATGGTCCTGTAGATCAGCCATCTCCTCTTCGTCAGCAATCTGCAGCTGTGCTAGCGCCTCCTCCGCAGCCAGTCGCGCCTTTAGAGCCCGCTTGAAGTTTCTGCAGGTTCGTTCAAGCTCCTGGTCTAGTGGTAGTAGATCTCCCGACTGGCTACGGGTCATGCACTACCTGCACACAATCAGCAAAAGCAACCAGTGATGGCACACAGGTGGAAAAGATAAAATGAAGTAAAGAAAAAGCTAGAGTAATAGATTTGCACGTTTCCCCAATAACCTAGAGGATCCCCGGCAACGGCGCCAAAAAATTGACACTCCAAAACACAACACCAATCTACGACCAAATGTAATCGCAGACCGGGATTGCAGTAAAGTGGCAAGTTATATTATCAACCCGGGGTCTAGATCTACTTCTTACTCAGTGATTATCTATTATCTAGCCAACTAAGTTAAGTGTTTGTTGTTTAAAGCAAAAGCAGGAAGAAAGCAGGAATTGGTACGGTTTTCTCAAGCAAAGAAGAGTCACTCGGGAATGAGTCCCCCTAGCTCCTTAGTTAGGTTTCAATTCTAATTTCCCTGGGTGGATTTACTGTTGATTAGCCTGCGGAAGATCCGACAGTAGCTTGGAATCTCTTAAGCTGACCAAGCTCTCTCAGACTAACTACCCGGCAGACGACTAGTCTTCACCGGGATAGAAAGCTGAAGCAGTAAGAACAGAACTCCACTACTGGAATTGAATTCCAGTACAAAGCAGTAAACTGGCTAACTCACGTATAGCCAATCTCCTACTACCAAATGATGAGGCTCTAACAAACTAATCAGATTCTATCTATCTCATGTTGCAGCAGAAATCAGGAAAAGCTGATCAGACTTCAATTGACTCAATAAACATGCATCATTCGATTAAAACCAAGCATTAATATCATCCCAAGTCATTACAATCAAATCCCTAACACATAGAACTAGGGTTCTTCATACCCAAGTGAGAGAAGGGTTCTACTCCATAGAGAGAGAGAGAGAGAGGAAAACAGAATACAGAGTAGTCATACTCATAAAGATGAGGAAAATCTGCTCTGGGATGATGATTTCCACTCCTATGACGATCTCCAAGCTTGATTTGATGAAACCCAGCTCCAAGATAGCTTCTAGGATGTGTTCTTCGTACTTTCTCACTCTAGGGCTCTGTTTTTGCTCTGAAAACTCGATTCTCCCACTTTCAGCCCGAAATTGGGTAAAAACCAGAAATTCCCGACTCACACGGGCAGGGCCACACGGCCGTGTGGCATACCCAGTTGCCCGTGTGAGGTCAAAACGCCGCGTTCCGAATAATTGAGTTTCAGGCTTCCCACACGGCCAGGGTCACACGGCCGTACAGCTCACCCAGCCTGGCCGTGTGAAGCCTCACAGAATTCCACATGGCCAAAGTGCAACTTCACACGGCCGTGTGAATATCAGGGCTGGCCGTGTGAAGGCTCGCATAATTCCACACGGCCAAAGTGGTCACTTGCACGCCGTGTGGCTTCCGTGTGGCTTCCTTTTTGACTTGCCTCGTGCTCGATCTTCGTCCAATCGACCCCCAACTCGCTCCTAAACCTTCATTCACTTGCTAGGACCTGAAATATCACAAACAAACACAACCTAGCGTGAAATCGGCCTAAAACACAAGAATTACCATCTCAAACGGCTCCAGAATAGGGGTAAAAACATGTGCAATTAACGGCTTATCACCCGTCCCGGCTGAAAGGGATGGAGCGCCTTGGGACGT